TCTGTGCCATCACTTCTGTCACCATTCTGAATGGCAGTTACTTAAAATTTTATCACTACATAAATTAAATAGAGAACTGTTTACTGTAATGAGAGGGTTCTATGGAGGAATTCCAACTCATGGGTAGAACTTATACCACTAGAGCAGATGAAGAACATACAATTAAATTACTGGAAACACTAATGCTACTTTCACTAACTGAACTGATCTACATTCATTGCAATAAAGAAAACACTCTCACACCAACAAGTTAAGGTGCCCTTTTTCTCTAAAAAAAACCCCCATGATCATTTCTTTTATTATATTAAGAGAAGAAAATAATCAAACTTAGAAAAGAGGCATATGTGATACACAAAGCCCAGATCCTGTAAAGCTGTTTTTTTGCTGGCCAGCACTCCAAATTAAGCTACAGCTCTCACCTCAAAGTCAGTCAGTACCACTGCACCTCTAAGAATTCTTACAGGAATTACTCCATTAGACAAGTAGAACAATTTCCAATTAAGAATGCACATCTTGATGTCAATCCCCTGAGAAGCCCACTTTCAAGGATAACTGTGCAAAGAAAACACTGATGCCTAATTCTAAAATCCCAAATTATTAAATTCTCAAAGAAATAAGGAAAATAATGAATATTTTTCATTTACCATAACTACACAATGTCAGGACTTGCCCCAAAGTGACTTCCTCACTTCTTCCCTCTCCCTTGCTTGCAGTGTTTAAGGTGTAACTCTTCAGTGAAGCATTTCAGAAAAAACACTTCACAACTCTTAAATAATCCGTAAGGAGCTAAACAGTACCTGTTCTGGAGGACAAAGGCCTGGTGGTAAGGCACTAGACTTCAACCTTCCAGTGGCTTGTAACAGCCATAACAAGGCAAACAAAATAAATAATAAAATGAAACTGGAAAAGATACCTTGACGTTGTCCTTTCAACCTCCAGCCAACCTGAGATGTCATGTAAGCACTGAAGCAGCAAAGAGATGATGCTGCTTAGATAGCAAAATCTCCATTTCTCCCTGACCTACAAATCAGAAGCTAACAGATCAGAGGTGCACTGGTGTACATCCCCACGGTGTCTCATGGAAACCCTGTTGCAGCTTCTGAACCAAAATGCATGTGCTCGAGATGCACAGAAAACATAACTATAAATAACACCAGCTGAAGCATGCACAGAAGATTCTGACAACCCAGTCAAGGACCTTATGGAACAGAATTCCCAAATTGTCTAAGAAAGCCATCATATCTGAAGAGATGAAACACACTGCATGGAGCTGAGAAACAGAAAGGTCTTCCCTGGGCAATATCAACTGCAGAGTGAGGTAGAGCAGCACAACCCTGCCCATGTGTTCTTAATGCACCTCAGTACCCTGGAATATTGCCACCAGCAGTATCCCCACCATACAGTGCTGGCTGAGAATTACTTTCTTGGGCCACTCAGGCTGGAATGTGTGATCTCAATATTACAATTTTGCTCTTTCTAAAGGTACTCTATAGTCAGAAATCACTCATCTCAGGGTAATTGGTATCAGGTGATTACAGAGGATTAACACTTGCACAATCAGACAAAGATAACCTTCACAAAGAGGTTTTTGGAGACAGAACTGCATATACTCAGGCTCATAGGTTTTCCACAGCATACTTTTGCTAACAAACATTGTACATCTCATGCAAAAGTGTGTACATTTGAGAAAACACAGATTTAGGCATCTACACAAGTACCCACTGATCAGTTTTTTTCCAGGCTAACTCCTCAGAGGGCCTGATTCTGAAAGATAAGTCAAGGGGTCTGCCTGACCATCACTGTGGCCAGCTTCTTGTAACCAACTCTAGCTGGCTCTTACTTGGTTGGAACCAGTAACATTTCCACCAGTTTTATCTAGATTGGACAAAACCCACACAACTACAAAGCAAAAGATAAGGACATAAATGCAGTATCAACTTTAACAGAATTGGATGAATTACCACTTTAAAAAAAAAAAAAACCAAACCACATCAATAAAGCAAATCACTTCAGGGGTATAATGGTGCCTTAGTTAAGATCCACTATTTTCAGAAAGAAGCACTTGTTCCAACAGTGGCAACAGTAATGACAACTACTGTAAGAAAATATATGGTTTTTTGTAGGAATGAGGAGTGACCAGATGTGAGCTTCATTAACTAAACTGTTCTCTACAAGAGACTAAAATACTTAAAAATGCCATCCATATATACATTACTATTGGGTCTCTCGTACATTTTTTTATCCTCATGATTAACTGATATTTCAAGAAAGGCATTATTTTGGTGGGTCAAAATGTCAGACTACCCTGAAACACAGTGGCAATTGATGACTCTAAAACATTATTTTGTTTGATCAATGTGTATAAACTAATGAGTCATAGATGCTGTCCAGTTACTACTAAATGATTAGCCATTTACAGACCACACACCAAATGCTACTTCTTGAAAATGTGACTGCCAGACGGTTGATTGTCAGGCTTTCAAAAGATTGGACATCACTAAATTGAGCTGTCTGTTCCTAGAATGTTGCACAAAACCAGCCACAAAAAGAACTGGTCTCTCTAGAATTAGTTATTTGTCTTACATACTATGCAATACAAACGTGACCCAAGCTAATGAAGAAGATGCAGACCTCCAGAACCTCAGCAGACAGCACCAGATGCAGCTGTACAGATTGTTTTGGACTGCCTCAGAAATGGAGAAACGAGGAACAAAACACTTGCACAGCAGTTTTTTTGTTTGGGTTTTACATGAGCTATGTGAATGAAATGAAACCCAATTCATTACGGAAGTTGGTTGCTATTTTTCCAGATGCTCAGGTGGCTAACCACCTCGCTCCAGCACACAGGCAGACCACATCCTACCTGCAATTTAAGAGACTACTTCAAGACCTCCCTGTTCTTACTTTAATGCTTAAACACTGAAGATATTGCTAATGCCCTTTCCTGAAGAGAATGTGCTCGTCAAGTTACATGTATACTCTGAATGTCTCGCATTATGGAAAGAATACTTTTCCTAAAAAAAAGAGGGTCTTAACAGAAATCTCACTGCTAATTCCACATTAATGAGTGACACACATTAAGTCTGAATAAGGTAACTGCATGCAACACATCTTAAATTCCTTCCCTATTCATAGTGATGTAACCCTAGAGTTGCCCCTTTCCTCCTTATTCTGTAGAAGCAGACAAGAAAGTAAAAAATTTGACCTAAACTTTCTGATTTGAAGATTACTGTGATGGCCACAGGATACCCTCACAAGATATGCCATACTCTGGTTAAATTGGAAAAACATAAGCTAAATGTAATCTCACACTTAGCTGCTACAGCATTTGTTTACAGTGTTTGTGTCAATGATTTATACTCACACAATAAAATATTAAGAGCAACAAACCATAAACCTGGCAGCACAAGAACTCTAACAGGTTTTCCTTGCAGTCTATCAATTCTGACACTACCCAAGATCCACCAGAAGCACTGCAGAAATAACGTGTTGCATTACATAAAATCAAATACAGAAGCTTAGTTTTATATAACTGTAATATGCATACATATGGTCTTCAGGACAAGATATCTTCTCTAAACTGCAGTTCATACAAAATTCCAAGTATAAGCAAAAGATAGCAATTTTGCCATTTCTAGTGCAGTATCTTAAACTCAGTATAATGGCAATCTCTCTCTATTGGTAGCTCTCACTGGTTCTTCCAGTATTAAAGACTTGCTGAAACTGAAATCCATTGCAGATTTTGAATTAATAAGTGAACATCAAAGAAGACACTAGTTTTCATCTATTTTAGCCAAATAGTAGGTCAAAACTATGATCACATTAATTGGAATTCAGTTATTTTTCTTGACAGCAACTATGCCATAAAAATAAAATCAAAGTCAACTTTGTAAAGATCATCAATGTCAAATAAAATACATTCTGTGCATCTCTGAACAATACACGAGGATAAATCATGCAGTGAAACTATGCAGTCAAACTATTGTTCTTCCAAACCTTGCCTTCCCAGAACATTCCTTTAGCCAAGCAATGGGAAGATAAACCCATTTGCCTAATGGAGCATATAATTTAAATATTTCAGACAAGCATTTACAGAGATATTGCTTAAAATAGATTTCACAGCCATCCATCCAAATCTATTGTATGATGAAGATCCAGCATAGTTCACAACTTATTTTTTCTATACAAACTCTAAACTCTCCAGCCCTTGCAGCTACTTTAGTCACCAGACATACTCTGTATTACTTTATTACAATCTTTTTTCCATAGTAAATTTAATATGAAGCTGCAATTTTCCTCTTTGGCAGTGCCTTGCAACATTTCTAAACCCACTAAAATTTCAGATTTTACTACTGCACCATGCAGTCCTGCACAATTCTGTAAACAAAATACACTGGAATTTATGGAACCTTAAAGGGATAGTGTACTTCATAGAGACTGCAGTATTCCATCCACAGGAAGATGCAATCAGCCAATGTCAATATTCTGTCATTTAGAATCATAGTTTTTTACCATAAAACATTCCCATTAATACAAAACAGTAGGGTTGGTTTTTCCCCCCAAACTTCTATCTAGGGTTTAAGCTATTAATATGATAACAGGTCTTCACTTGATCAAAAAATCTGCTTATGCTTTTTTTTTTCCAACACGCTATGAATCGCGTTTTGTATTGTGACCTAGCTAAAGCACAACAGTAGCTCGTAACAAGCAAAGTGCATGCTAACAAGAATTCCCCCTTCCACATACACAAACAAGTACCTACATGAAAAAAACAGAGAAAGGGGAAAAGACAGTCTTTACTATTTATGTACTAGGAGTGAGCATTTCAAAGAGTTGATCAACTTCCACAAACGTCAGATTTCAACCGTGTACCTCAATACTGCAGCGAAAGCGAAAAGTAAAATATAACCCCAACTTGGGCTTTTAAGTCTGTAATGGATTTCACTCATGGGAAAAAAACAGGTTAGTTTTGTCTGGTCTTTGCTACAGAGTCATCTCCTATGCACGCCACAAATAACCTGAGCGATGACTTCCCTGCAGGACAAGAGCTGCCCATCATATTGCAGGATTATCACAATGTTGGTTTGTTTAGGGGTTGCCCGTGTGTGTGCGCCTTGCGTATGTAATCCAGGCATTCGCTCACATCAACTCCTCGTTGCGTATCTCGCAATAAACTGATGGACGCTGCTGAACCTGAACCACCAACCTTTACCGAACAAAGAAGTCTAAGCCCGCGACCGTGATGCAAAATCATCCCAAAACCTACTACACCCTGCAAGAGCCTCTCACCGAAAATAGCCCAGCAAGCTCATTCATTCTTCCCGACCCAGCGATCCGCTCACCATCTCCTCCGTCTTCTCTTATCTCTCTGCCCTCCGCTTATTTTCCTCGCTGCTGCTGCTGCTGGATTCAAGGAGGCGATGTACCAAAAAAAAAAATTAAAAAAAAAAATAAAAAGGGGGGAAAAAAGGCCAAGTGTTCCCTGCAGCAGCGGGCAGCCGCTGGACAGCAGGTCAGCCCCGGCGCTATGCCAGCCCCGGTGCTATGTCAGCCCCGCCGCTCCGCTCCCGCCGCCGCTCCCAGCGCGGGGCCGCTCCCGCCGCTCCGCCCGCCCCCCGCGCGGTCCCCGGGAGAGCGCCCGGGCTGCACCAGCTCCTCCCGCCCGCTCACCGCCGACACCGCCGAGGAGTCGCAGCCGGGCTGATTTTCCCCTCCCACCTCCACATTCCTATTTACAAAGGGTATCCAAGACCATCTTTATCCAACGGGGGGCTGGGGGGGGTGTAGTTGAGGGAGGGGAAGGTGGAAGCGATCATTAACCCTTTTCTTGCGTTTACCTTTTGCTACTGGGATTTTTTTGCTCCGGTTTTGGAGCGCACGAGGGAATCCCCCTTTCTCTACAGAGCACATGGACTCGCTGCCATCGGGCCCCGCCGGGTCCGCGCTCCCGCAGCGCGGCTTGGCCGCTCGCCACCCCTGGAGCAGCACAGCCCTCCCCTAAAAAAGGTCCAAGGGCACGGCCGAAAAACGCACGCCCTCCCTAAAGCACGGCTGGGGAAACGAGGGGAGAGGAGCGCACACGGGCAGGCCGTGAGGGCAGGGCCCGCCCAACGCCGGTGTTTTTAAGCGGGGCGCTCGCGCTGCCCAGCGCTCACACCTGGGGGAGCGGCGCAGCCTGCGCGCCCCACCCGCCCCCGCGCGCCAACCGGCCCCGCCAATTCCCCATTGGCCGCTCGGCCGCGCTCGCGCCCGGCAACCGCAGCCCCATTGGTGCGGCCCCGCCCCCGCCGCCGCGCCATTGGCCGGCGGGGCTGTCCGTCAAGGAGCCGGGCGGCCCCGCCCCTCGGCGGGCGGGGGAGCGGCCGCGGCGCCGCGCGGGAGCAGGGCCGGGGTGGGCGCGGGGCATCGCGGGGCCGGGGCTCGGCCCTGCCCTCACGGCACGGCCGGGCTCGGAACACGGCCCGGCCCTCGGGGCGCTGTCGCTGCGCGCTCGGCAGGAGCGGCAGGGACCATTGTGTCACCTCCCGGGATGGGTGCGCGCTCCCGCCCTGCCGGCCCGCAGCGCTGAGCCCCGCGCAGCGCTTCGAGGGGTCTCTGCGCTCGGGGAACTCGCCGGTGCCTCGCCCAGCTGCCCGCGGGGGGATCCGGGCCCAGCTGGTGTCCCAAGGGCTGTGGCAGCGGGCCCGCCTGGTGCAGCGCAGCCAGGGGATGCTGGCACGCGATCCGCGTGGGTTTGTCCAACCTGACCTTCTCGCCGTTTGCAGGGGTCTGTGCAATGCGGTCGTCGCCTTCTCTTTGATAACCTAAATGCCTTGAGCTTTCCATGCCCTTATTTTATATCTTGTTATCTATCCCCTTCATTAATGTTCCTCCTTTGAATCATTTCCTGTGGTTTTCCCCCTCCCTAACCGTGGGTGCCAGAAATGTTTTAGCGTTCCAGTGTCACTGTGCTGTGGACAAAGGCAGT